GAAAGCAAAAATAAAGAGCACAGGTCTAGGAAACAGATCCTGGAAGGAAATTAAACTTGAGTATAAATAGAAAATTAAAACTCAGTGCAAATTAAAATTTGAGAGTATGGCAGGGCAGAAACCTCCCAGCGCGATGAGCTGCAGCCTGTCCTGGGGTTCAGGAACCCCATACGCTGGGCAGCCCCCGCCCCTGAGACCTGGCTGAGCTTGGAGAGGTTGCTCCAGTCTCAGTCCATAGTTTCTCCAAGAAAAAGGGGGAAAATAAGGCTTGCTGAGGACATTGTATACAAGGACTTAATGTGTCAATATTCGTATAGAACTAAATTAGCAATTGCCCCATAGAAAGAGCTGGCTGAGCTTTTGTTGAAGTTCTAAAAATTATATCTATCGGCCAGGCACGGTGGTTCACGCCTGTAATCCCAGCACTTTGGGAGGCCAATGCGGGCGGATCACCTGAGGTCAGGAATTCCAGACCAGCCTGGCCAAGATGATGAAACACCGTCTCTACTAAAAATACAAAAATTAGCTGGGCGTGGTGGTGGGCACCTGTAGTCCCAGCTACTCGGCAGGCTGAGGCAGGAGAATTGCTTGAATCCGGGAGGCGGAGGTTGCAGTGAGCCGAGATCGCACCACTGCACTCCAGCCTGGGCGACAGAGCGAGACTTCATCTCAAAAAAAAAAATTATATCTATCTATATGTATTATGTATTATATGTAAATATATAATATAATTATTTATTTATATTTGTGTATTAAATATATATTTAATTTATATATAATGTGTATTTTATGTACGTATTATATATGTATAATTTTTTAACTATCCTTCTTGTAAAGGCCTACAAGTGCCTTTTCTGTTTTTGTTTTGGTTCCGGTTTTCCGGGATTTTTGGATATTCTTCCTTCTCATTGATAGATCATAGCAGTCTGTTTTAGAGGGTAGAACATGATGTTCTGATATTTGTTTACCTGTGCAGTCCTTTCCAGGCAGGGCCCCACCAGGAGCCGTGCCTGTTTGAGTCTCCACTTCAGGCTTGGCACTGTTTTATTTTGTTTTCTTTTGTTTTGTTACATTTTGTTTTGTTTTTAAAGATAAACACAAATTAACTCAGAGATTCTCTCACCCTCTGGTGACTCACAGGGTAATTTCCTGTTTTAATCTGAGTTGAGAGACCACATGAGACCACACAAGTGGGGCGGAGACTTGGATACGCCTCATCCAGCAGTGGACTCAGGGCTCTCTTGGGACACGGGAGTGTGTGGGCATGCTGTGTGCACGTGTGAGTGTATACATGCTTGTGTGTGTGTGTGAAGCTTTGGGTAGGTGAGGTCAGCTCTCTGTCTGCACCCACCCACACGTCCCTCAGACACCTCCCTCATTCATCCCTGAAACACAGGCTCCATCTGAAAATACTGACACCAACTCTGAGTCCTGTGATGAGCAAGTTCAGGAGGTCTTGCGTACGGCATGGGTGGTGAAAACTGTGCTCATTAATTTGATTATGGCGATCATTGTGCAATGTATACGTATATCAAATTATCCCATTGTACACCCGGAATATATGCTATCTTGGTCCACTCAATTTTAAAATGAAAACGCTGACACCTCCTTTGTAAGTCCTGTGTCCCTCACTCAGCTTTGAACAACTGTGAAGGCGGAGACTCGGCCCAAGTGACCTGTGCACCCAGGACCAGGCATGGGGCCGCCAGGTGTGATGTCTTCAGAATTATTTACTGATGCACAGAGTAAAGTATGACCCAGAGAACCGGGCTTAGCTCTCAGCTGTAAATGTATAGCACTGTCTCAAGGTTAACTCTTCACTTCTAGGAAGGTCTTTGGGGTCAGAAGAGCAGATCATTCCAACAAAGTCTCTGGGGTCATTGGAGATTCACAGGAGACACCTAGGACCAGCTGGGGGACTGCTTCACTGCTCATCAGATCTGCTGGGTGTTTGTAGCTGGGTCTCTGGAGACAACCTGTGGCTGGGTTTCTGAAAATAGCCAGGTGACTATAGTTGGGTCTCTGAAAACAGTCAGGTGAATAAAGCTGGGTCTCTAGAAACAGCCAGACAACTGCAGCTGGGTCTCTAGAAACAGTCACAACTGTAGCTGTGTCTCTAGAAACAGCCAGACAACTGTAGCTGGAGTTCTAGAGACAGCCAGACAATTGTAGATGGGTCTCTGGAAACAGCCAGCTGATTAGGGATTCGTTTCTAGAAGTAGTCAGGTGTATGTATCTGAGTCTCTGGAATCAATGGCAACACAGTCTATCCAAGGAGCTGGTCAATTGTAGAAGGAACCACCTGGTTAAGGAAACTTCTGGAAGCTGGTTAGAAAACTCGTCTCCAGCTCATGTCTCCTGGACAGCTGCCTGACTCGCTTTCCAGATGATGATGAGTCCAAGAGGAAGCCTTCCAAATGGCCGCTTCAGGCTTTTCCTAGAGTGACTTTATATCCTCAGGTGTAGAGGTCAGGTGGGCCTGGGGTCAGTGTCTGGCAATGGCTGCATACGTGCAGGACTCAGCCATGGGCTTTGTGGACTGTGGGGACACAGCCTGGGCTGTCCTCCGTGTGAGGGCCCAGTGGTCCAGCTGCGCATACGTCACCTCCTGGGGGTCCCCTGCAGCCGGGGCCTGGGAGAGAGAGACCCAGGGTGAGGGAGTGCCTGGTGGAGGGTGAGGTGAGGGGCTGTGGGACTGGAGGACTGTGGGGGCCATCTCCATGGGCCCCGAGGACCCTCTCCTGAAATTGCATCCGTGTGAAGAGCCCTCCCACAGGGTATTAGGGTTGGTCTACGTGACAATGAACAAGGCAGAAGGGAAGACTCCTGACTTCCAAGCTGAGGCAAAGATATCGCGCTTCCGCCCCTCCCCGCCACCCATCCTTGGATCCCTCCCTCTGGGGGAATCCGTGGTGTGGAGAGGCCCCTGTGAGAGGAACAGAGGTTTCCTGCCCACAGCCGTGGGAGTGAGCGTCTTGGACGTGGATCCTCCAGCCCACGGGAGCCTTCAGATGCACACAGCCCTGGGCGACCTCTCGACAGCAACCTTAGGACAGGCGGTGAGCCGGAACCGCCCAGCTGAGCCACTCCTGAATTCCTGACCCAAGGAGCTGAGATTTTTTTTAAGCTGCTAAATGTGGGGAACTTGAATAACTAGGAGGAAGGCT